CATCGTTGTGTTGGAGGGAGTCACTCATGAAATAGGACGAGAAGTGCATTCCATTAGAAGAAGAAGCTGCAACCGCGGGAGCGGCTACAACCTCTTTGTTGTTTACAGTGCTGGTACCATCACCACTATTCTTCTTCTCCTTCTTCTTTTTCTTCTTCCCCTCATCCTGCTTCCCCTTGCCTTTGTCAGAAGATTGACCAGTAGGCTTGAGGTTGGGATACTTCTTGTAGCAGGATGTCGCAACGTGACCGGACTTGTTACAATGAGTGCAGCGGGTGGCAAGGGACGGAACGGTGGAAATCTTCGAGTTCGACGTCGTGTCGAGGTTCTCGATCTTGATATTCCCAATGACACTGTTCTTGACATCGACCGGGTTCAAGGAAGCGATAGGACGATTGGCCAGATAAGAGGTGACGAAACCTCTGCTGGAAGCGGGTAAGGCGGCAAGCATGAGAGTCGCGAAGAGGTAGTCCGGGATCTCGATTCCTCCTTCTGAACACTGGCGACGACGAGTCTCCATTTCCATGATTTGCTTCTCAATGGTGTCACCACCATGGAAGGTGGTGGTGTTCAGGAGGCGGTACTCGACGAAAGCATCGATGGCATTTGGTTGGCCATAATCCGTCGCCATTTTCGCCCAAACTTCGCGCGCAGTGCGCTCCCGCTGACCGTCCATAAAGATTCCCTTGCGCAGATTCTGGGTAATATAAACCCGCGCAAGACCCAGTGCCTTTTCATTGGCAACGTCCCATTGATTTTGGGAGTCCCCAGCAGTGGAAGGACGTTCGACTGCACCGATGTTTGCAGCTGGTGTACCGTTAACCGTGATATAAGAGGGTTTCACAACCCCCCAAGTGCCCTGGTGCATGCATATGCTCATATAGTTGTCCGACCAAGTATTCCAGTTTGTGCCGTCAAAGATGCTCAGGATTGAATTGTTGAGCTTTTCTATCCCAGACATTGTGGGAAGAAATTTGATGACGTCGGCGATGTGATGGTGGAGAAGAGTAGGTTCGACGTATGGAGGATCTCCAAACAGAAGACGAAGCGCGACGGTGAAATTTCCTTGCGCCTGATCGCTGTTCTGATTGTCGATATCACCAACCCGATAGATGTCACCGGTGATGGATTCGATTGGAAGATAGGAGTGTCCGAAAGTCGTCCAAGAGTTAACGGGGTATAGGATAACCCCAACAGGAGGATCGTTTGGTGATGACAGGGTGATAGAGATGAAGACTAGAGCGACAAAGTCAGCCCCAGATTCTCTGCAGACCAAGAAACAAAATCCCGAGTGCCAAATCTCTGAAACGAGAACGACCAAGCGTCCCCATCCCATCCATGATGCCCATATACGCGCGGGGAATGATAACGAAATAAAGCGGTATAGTAAGTGCCCATATTTGTATCAAAGTAACGTAACTATATACGTCAGCGGCGGCAGTACCCGACGGTGATTACTGCCCTCGCAGTCCGTCACTGGCCAAGGGACACGTGCCCAAGGCCGTCCCAAGCACCGGGTTTGACCGCCCATCTTCTCCCTTTTAAAGACATGCATACACGCAGAGCGTCATTGCATGAATCCTCGTAGTGTCACCAGCCCGCAGGGTCCCTTGTGAGGAATGCGAGTCAACCCCGAAGGATTGTTTTGCCTGGCGGAGGGATTGACCTCCAGCAGCTGTTGAGAGCTACCACACCACCTAGGCGCTTCGCGCAAGGTTCAGGAGTGGGATTGACCAAAGGACCAGTGCCTGGTGGGTATTGGAGCGGGCGTAGCTCTTCGTAGAATGCGGTGACTAAGTCTGTCTCCTCCTATGTACTCTTGTGTGTCTACGCCGGGAGCACGTGACCCCTACTCCATGTGCCCCCATTTAAAATGGCGACGTCCTCGCCGCCTCCGACGTCGCCGAGCTCCCTCTCCGCTTGTTGCAATCGCCACCGCTCAACCTCATCGAGTTCGGCTTCTCTCAGCCTGTCCACTTCCCGCACCTCGTCCTCCTCGCGTGCTGTCCTTGATTTATCTGCTGCACTCTTGAGTGCTGCCTGCGCCCTAGCGAGAGGTGTCCCAGCTCTGGGAACGTATTGTCGGAGTCGTCGTGCGTTGAATACGCCGTCGATGGGGACCCCCTCGACGGATTCCAGCTTGAACGAGTGCCGCAGCCTGTCCTGCACTCTATGCGGCTCCGACCAACGACATGTCAGTTTGCGCTCGTTACTAATCGTGTTGGCCAAGTCGCTGCGGAACACCTGGACCAGGTCGCCGACCTCGAAGGACACGACTCCCGCCTTCGACTTCAGCACTTTCCTGTCAAACGCCGCCTTGCGTCCAATTGCGTACTTGACGCGTTCCGCGTATCCGTCCAGTCGAAGCTGTTCCGCATACGCCATGTGCAGCACCATCTCGTGTGATGGTGGCGCTGTATCCAGGTTCAAGGGTTGTCTCGCGTCCGGCGCCGCGGCCATTAGTCCAAACAGGAGTTCCCTGGGCGAGAATTTCACCGCCGGTAATAGTCGGTCGTTCATCGTTTCGATAGCCGTGTCGAAGTGGTCCGTCCAGAGCCGTGGTAAGTCATCTTTCTTTGTTGATTTCCATGCGTCCTCACCAACGTTGGGTGCACACAGTCTTGCAAGTATGTACAGCAAGATCTTGTTTGCTCCCTCGACCAGTCCGTTGATCCAGGGTGCGTACGCTGCGACCTTGTGAAACCGGACCCGTCGTCGTTTGCACAGCGCATCAACGTCCTTGTTAGCGAAGTGTGAACCGTTGTCGGACATGAAGACCTCGGCGACGTGGAATTTGCCAAAGATGTGTTCAAGTGCCGCTGTGGTAGATTTAGCAGAACCCGAATCTTTCAGTTTAAAACCCCAAACGAATTGGGAGAATACGTCGAGGAACAGCCCGACGGTCTTGAAGCCTCCCTTGCCATCCGGCATTGAAAGGTAGTCGCCCACAATGAGTTCGAAGGGTTGTCGGCGCGTTATCGGGTTCATGAGTGCGTGTAGATTTGCTGGGCCAAATCCTTTGCATTTGGCACAGTCCGCGATTGCCCTCATAATGGAGTCGTCCAGTCCCGGGCTGTGGTATTTGTCCATCAGTGCTAACTTGACGGCGTCTCGATGAAAGTGTCCCCCTTTGCTGTGCACCTCCGCTGCCTTTTCCCTTGCTTCCGTGCGTGTTAGACACTCGCGTCTCGACCGCCCTCTCATTGCTACGCCGCCCCCCACTCTCCATAATCGGCCGTCGTCAATGAAGTACTGCGATGCCCGATGTCTTGCCCGTTTTCGATCTGCTAGGCTGGTCCCCAAATCCAGCTCCGTAAGCGCTTCCACAATCTCCAAGTACATTGGTTCGTCCTTGAAGCGCTTCCAAAGTTCCATGGTGCCCTGCGGCAGTGGTACCACAGTACAGGTTAGCTCTTCCGTTGTTGAGGCGTCAACCGCAAACAGATCGTTGGTGAGTCCAGTGCGAGCTTCCCAATCGGGCGAGACGGTGGATTCACTGCCATCACCTGGGGTCTTTGGTGTGCCCTCTGCCGCCCGACTTAGCGCGTCTGCCACCGCGTTCGTCGATCCCTTGATGTGCTCCGCGCCGATGATGTTGTAGCCGAGGAGTCCGTTTAGCCATCGGGTGTGTGTTGCATTGAGTTTTTCGTTATTGAGAATATCGCGTAGCGCCTGGCAGTCGGTCTCCAGCCAGACTGGTTGGCCCCAGACGATGTTCGAGAACTTGTCCAGGGCGAACTTTAGTGCGGCGAATTCCAATAAATGGGGTTGGTACCGCTCTTCTGCTGCTGATGTCCGTTTGGATGCGAAGGCGATGGGGTGTCGCCGGATGACCACCCGGCCGTCTGTCGTTGTCGACTCCATCTTCTGTGAGAGGACGCCAGCAAACGCGTCCTTGCTACCGTCTGTCGTGATGATGAACGGGTGTCTGTGGACAATATCGTATAGTGGGGCTCGTAGCACTGGTGCAGACAAGAGTAGCTGTTTGAGTCGGAGAAAGCACCTTGTGTGCTCTTGAGTCCAAAGCGGTCGCAAGTCGAAGTTCTTCATGACCGTTCGGTAGACTTGTCGGCTCGGCTTCGGTGGCATTGGTACTGTCTTGAGGAGGTTCCGCAGTGGTGCCTCTTCTCGGGCGTAGTTCTGGATGATGTCACGGAAGTAGCCAGTGAGTCCCAAGAATGCTGCCAGGTTAGTCGCGTTCTCAGGTGTCTTCCACCCTACCACTGCTGTGAGTTTTGCGGGGTCCGGCGTCACTCCTTGGGGCCCAACCATTGCCCCCGCAAACACTGCTTCTGTCATGAACAGTCGGGTCTTTGCCGCCGAGAGCGACAGACCCTCTGCTCGCACCCGGTCGAAGACCAGCTGTAGCTTGTGCATCATCCCCTCAAATGTGTCTGACGCAGCGCCCCCATCATCCACAAACAACTCCATAACCTGAACCAACAAGTCGCTGAGTTTGTCGGCGCACATGGCGCCAAATTCCGTTGGTGCATCCGTTAGACCAAACGGCATCCGCATATAGGCGAAGTAGCCCATGCCCGGTACAAACATTACTAAGTACGGCTGTGCGCTCTCGTCGACCCGAAGGGCAAAGAAGCCTGACGCGAAATCAAACACCGAGACATATCGGTGCCCCGCCAGCCGTCGCTGCTTGTCTCGGATGTCACCCTGTGGCACCGGGACAACCTTCAATAGAGCCTTGAGCTCGTGGAAGTTCTGGCAGATCCTCCATTTCTGCTCCTGCGGCCGTCCTGCCTCCGGACTGGTTACCCGGTGGGGCTGTCGCTCTGTCTCATATGGCAAAGGCAGGCCTGCCCGATCGCAAGCATCATTGAGCTCCTGTTTCAGCTCCTCATGCGATAGGGCTGCACTGTCATGCTCTTTCTGCGCCAACTTGATAGGGGACACGCACTTTACATCCCGAGGATGGATTGGGCGGACAACCCCTGCCTTCACCAGTTTGCGTGTTTGCTCTTGTAGATAAGCTTCTTGTGGCGGCGTCATTGGTTTCTGATGTATCTTCGTACTGAACTTGTGGTCGGCTGGGATCTTTGGCGCATATGCCGCGCCCTCCACCGGCAGTACCTCCGATATGGATAGTGCAAAGACATCAGCGTAACGGGCAATGAAGTCTTGCACCTCCTCTTGTTGGTCTTCTGAAAGGTCTGGTCCCGTTTCCACAAGCTTGAGAATTGCCGCCACACGTTCCGGCTTGAATGGTTCAGAGGTTCGCGTGAATGTCGATGTGTCGGCCACATCTGGTAACGCTTCGGGGCTGGCAATGTCGAAAAAAGTGCCTGGGATTGCGTCAGAGATTGATGCGATTGTTTCTGATCTGGCATCCAGTACTTCCCTCGAAGGGGGTGCGCTACTTCCCCCTATCGAGTTTGCTCGCGTGTCCATTCCCTGGACCACCCTGGACACCTCCCCCTCCGCCAGCTTGTCCAGCCACGACAGGCACTCCTGTTTGTCTGGTGTCCGTAGCTCCCCATCGGTCTGTTGCTCTCCCCTCAAGGGGGTCGTTGCAAATGAAGACAGAACCCCTTGGAAGAGTGCACTTGGTCTCGTCGCTTCGGGCGGTCTCCTCCTGCTGCTGTGGTTGTGTAGCTGGATTTCCGTCTTGCCGTCCTTGCTAGGGAGCCTCACCACATCCGCGGCAAAGTCCTGCACCGCATGTGCTGCTGCGAGGGATGGCTTCCCGAACAAGAAGTCCCAGCTACCTTTGCTGTCGAGGATCTCCAGTTGGACAGCGACAGTCACGCCGCCGACACGGACTTCGCCGTCCCACTGAACTGTTGGCCAGGCTAGGGATCCATCCGCCATCCTCAGCACCCGCTTGGACGGTGTCCCACCTCCCAGCCTGTCCCTCAGCCTTTGCCACACCGCCGCGTCCATGGCACTGACCGAGGCTCCTCCGTCGAACAGTGCTCTCACCCGCGTCTCCTTTCCTTCGTTGTCCACCACCGTAATTGGATGTACGAATGGTGAGGCTCTCCCAGCATCCACCGCATAGAGTTCCAGCACTTCATATTCCACGTTGTTGCGAATGACATCTGAACCATCTAAGCTACGGACACCGAGGCTCGACTCATGCCCCGGGTACGGAGTCACTGCTTGGGCCCTCACAGTGACTCCCCCGGAAAATCCTGCTCGTCGTCGTCGTCCATCCAGCTTCCCAACACCGCATTCAATGCAGCAGGGACGGGTCGAGGGAGGTTCTTCGCGCAGATGCGCCGAAAGCGACGTTCGGGAAGGGGGATCTTAGTGTCGGTACAACTCGCCGCCTGGTGACGTGGCGTGGTTAGCTTGCCACAATTCCAGCACTCGCCGCTCCCTGGCCAGACCGTCCCGGGAGAGAGCGGGACCCCGACTTCCTCCACTGGCCGGCCTGAACTCTTCTCCTCCCAGCGCTGGAACAGTGCTCGATACCGTGCCACATCTGCGGCAGAGGTTGAGAGCAGGGGCATGGCAGTCCGCATGCGCTCAACCAGCTTTGTGAGCATGGCCTTAGCTTCCGGGCTCAGGTTCTCTGGTGACGGTGTGAATGCTGGAGCGGGAATGGGTGTTGACGCGATGCTGGTGCGACTGAGTTGTGTGCGAATGTGGGCGGTGGGGGATTGGGGAACAGTGCGTGCCGTGCCACGAGATCGAAGGGCAGCCAGATCTGCCTCCACCTTCGCCGTCCTGCGTTCCTTGTCGGCATCCTCTTTGAGCTTGTCAACGTCCACCGTCTCTATAGCAGCAGTGAATGCATCCCAGTCCGCCGGCGTCCGTGGGGTCTGGGTTTTGAGCGCATCCGGCAGGTTTTTGCGAACATGCCAGATGCCGCTGCTGGTTGTGTTGATGCCTGCGGCAGCCGCCATCCGTTTCAGCGTCCTTGCAAATGCCACGTGTGTCCAGACCTCGACACCACCGTTGGTCGTCCGCTTGCCCAGTTCGTCGAGGGTGATGCTCTGGCTGCTAAGTTCCTCCTCCCATTGCTGTTTCGTCTTCTCTGCAGCTTGTGGGGCATCAAACTCCTTGACAAATGCGGCTCTTGCGTCCTTCCATGTTGTGAATGGGGTTGCGCTTGCTTGCTTCTTCTTCCACCATGTATCTGCGGGTTTCCCTGCTCGTAGATAGTCGCCAAAAGATTCAAGTTTGTCCGCATCAGATAAGCCCAGTCCCAGAGTCTTTCGGGCGAACTGGCGGGCAAAGTCCTCCGCAGTGATGCTGTCTTTGCCGGTCTCACCCGAATAGACGACTACGTTGTCGTCTGTCATGGTGCGAGGAGGTCGTCGAGGGGTGGTCGCCGGAAAGGGGACTCGACTTGGTTGTTGTTGCCCGGGTTGTATTGGTGCGGTCGGTGACGTGGAACGTGTGGGTGGTGCGATAAACGTCGGCAGTAAGTCAGGTGTCGGTGCACGAGTGCGAGATATCAGCTCAAACGGTGTGGTCGAACCGCTGTCGTGTAGCGTCTCAGGGGTGGTGGCTCTGCTAGACTCTTCTCGTTCTCCTGTCGTCTCAAACTTCCTCGTGAAACGACCTCTTCCGTCTCTTTGCTGCGGCTCTCGGCTGTTGGTACGGCGTGTGCTGTCGGCCACGATTACCGATTTTGAATCTGCGTGCTGCGTGTGTGGTATCTCGCCCTTGTCACCAGATGGAGCGGGCGTAGCTCTTCGTAGAATGCGGTGACTAAGTCTGTCTCCTCCTATGTACTCTTGTGTGTCTACGCCGGGAGCACGTGACCCCTACTCCAGTATGTCCGCTGTACAATAAAAAGATGTAACGTAAAACGCGCGCGAGCAATCATGGACGGAATGGCTAACGGCGCGTCTGCCAACTGAATGACTCCCTGACGCCGCTCGCGTAACCCCTTGAGGGTGAGAGCACAAATGCGAGGACCGACATCCAGCAAGTGGGACGAGCGCACAAAGACGGCGCTCTAGAAGGGCTGAACGAGTGAAAGATACTCGCCTTAGTAAAGGGAGTAGTTCGATGTTTCTTGATTTGCCGCTAGTGGTTCAGGCGGGGCCCATAACCTGTCGCAGACAATACCGCGCAGTGGAGATACGACCAGTAGCGATCACCTAAAGACACAGAGTCTCAGCGAGTGTAAGACACAGGAGCTTAGCATTAGCTGTACCTAAAGACACAGAGTCTGTGGTACAAGTCATAAGTAAGGGTCATTAGATCGTAAGGGAGAATGCATACCTCAGCGACTGTAAGACACAGGAGCTGAGGATATGGAGCGTATAGTACTAGGTTTATATACCAGTCTGGAGCAGATATCATGATGTCATAGTGGAGTAATGATATCATAGATGAGTAATGGATGACACAATAATGAGGTCAGGTATGAGGTCATTGTGGAGCGAGCCAAAGTAATCTAAGAATACTACTTATGATGTCATGTCTACATACTGTGATAGTCGCTAATACAAACAAGCTTCAACACCAAATAGCGGCAGATATACAGCGCTTTATGGAGGTGGTCTTGGGACGGATTTGCGGCAAATTGTAACAATTTAGTCACAGCAAATGCAATGTCAGGACATGTGCCTAGCATGATGAAGAGAAGAGATCCAATTACTGATTGGAATTTCTTCCTGAGCTCAGGATCAACTTCATCCTCGTTTGGCATTGGAACATATCCAGCCGGTAGAGGGGTCGCTGCGAACTTGGCGTTCTGCATTCCAAAACGCTCTAGCACCTTGTCAAGATAGGGAATCTGATCAATCTTGATTGAAGATCCTACTCTACTGAGGCGTACGCGCAGGAACTCTGGAGTATCTTCAGAATTGCAGCATTCTCATCGCTTGTTGAATTCAGCCTTGAGAAAGGCAAGGAGCTTCTTGTTCTTGGAGAAGAACAGTGCATCATCCACATAGACTATTATGACAGCTATGCTGCCATCAGAGTCCTTGTAGAAGAACACACCGGCATCCAATGTTAGTCGGATCCAGCCCATGGCTTTCGTGGACTTGGTCAGCGCTTTCCACCATGCTCAAGCAGCTTGTTTGAGTCCATAGATTGCCTTGTGCAAGCACATGACTTTGCACTCTTGGCCTCTCGCCACAAAGCCTTCGGGTTGTTCCATGTAGACCTCTTCGTCAAGCTCTCCGTAGAGAAAAGCCTTACTGACATCGAGTCCAGACCAATGCCAATCATTGAGCGCTGCAAGCGCCATGACCAACCGGAACGTCTCATGCCTGACAACAGGAGAGAATATCTCGTCATAGTCAATACCTTCGACTTGACTGAAACCCTTGGCAACTAGGCGGGCACGTTTTCGGCCATCAGATTTTTGGTCAAAGACCCAGCGACATCTGATAACCTTCCGTCCTTTCGGGCGGTCCACAAGGGAATAGACCTTGCGCTGACGAAGTGCCTCTAACTCGTCGCGGCAAGCATCAATCCAACCTTTCTGTTGTTCAGAAGGCAACCGCTTGATATTGCAGAATGTCCAATTGCAAATTTTGGACGTATCAGGTAGGTTCTCATTTGGAACCGCTTTTGACAGCAGTGCCATGATGAGCTCTACTCCCCCTTCCCGGCATAGCTTTTCCATGCGTGCATCCTCATCTAGATTATCAGAAGCACCCGCGTTTGAGGAATCTGGTTGCGAGCTAGGGCCGGGAACCCCTGCATCAGCACCGGTTGATGGTTGAGATTGGGAGCTACCCTTATCTTCACCAACATACCGCTTCCACCCTCTGCTATTCTGAATATCACAGACTATGTCCGTAGGGTTACGCTTTTCCCCATAGACGTTTCCTGGACGTGTAGGCACATTCCACTGGTGTGAAGACCTTCGAGGCTCAGGAGCTGGTGAAGCTGCCTGACTTGGTCGTGGAATCCTACTCCTACGAGACCTCTGAGGTTCATCCTGACGCTCTGGCGGTGGGTCCTGACGATTATGACCGTTGTCGCCATCATCATTCCCTCGTGCGGGAGGTGGTGGAGCCAAATCAGATGGCATAGGAAATGGCAAAGTATCATCTCCATATAGCCAATCTTCTCCGTCTACCTGTGGTGGATCTTGTGGATTCACTGGGTCATCACGTTCTGGAAATTCCTCTCCAACAGGAACGTGGGGTGGTCGATTGCTGTCAGGACAGCGGGGGAACAACTCCTCGTCGAACAATGCCTTGGTGGCGACGAACGTGGAATTGTTTGTGCGCATGAACAAAAATCCTTTCACACCATCAGGAATGCCCAAGTAGGTCATCAGCTCCGATTTGGGCGATAACTTGTTGGCGCGCTTCTCATCAGGGATAAAGACATATGCAGCACAACCAAAGACTTGGAGTTTGGAAACATCCGGTTTTTCCTTGTGAAGAGCTTCAAATGGAGTTTTCCA